GTTGTTATTTGATTTTCCTGCGGTGTGTGATGATTTGCTATGATGTATGTGGGGGTCCCTGCCTTCCCCAAAGAATGAATAAAACTGCTGCAAACCCTGGGCTCGGGGCCTCTCAGCGTCACCAGTTGCTGTGTGCGCGCGGAGGACCGAGCTAGCTCGCAATAAACACCTCTTTGCTGCTTACATTGATCTTGGGTCTCTGGTGGTCTTTGGGGGTCCCGAATTCGAGCATAACACCTTCCCACACTCATCAGCTAAGTAGCCTATTGGGTCCCTCAGTGAATGGAGCAATGAAAGTCGGGGAGGAGAGTTTGGCTGCAGACAGCATCGACACTGGACAGTGAACATTTTTTTGTGGAAAAACTATCTGGCTCCTTTGAAGAGCATGAGTTAGGAAAAAAAATCATTTCCTGAGTTTAAATTGCTTAGACTTCCCGTAGGGTCATAAAATAACAGAAGTGAAACTGAGCACAGTACAACGAGAGAACATGTATGTGTTGTAAATTGTGAGCTTGGTCATCTTTGCAAGAAGGATGAAGTTTTTTTCTGGGACTATACCAGGGCAGAGATTTTCATTGCTATAGGTTTGCATATTTGTGAAGAAATGAAACAGCAAACCAGTGATAAGGCAATTTCCTGGAGACATCAACACTTCATGTGCTGAGGGCTTCCCTCCCAAGCAATCCCAAATTCCTTGAGCAAAATTGAGAACTAAGAAGGATGTCAAAGAGGACTCTGAGAACCTTAGAATGGTGTCAGAATGCTCTTGCCCACTAAAATTATTGCCAGGGATTAAAACAGAATTTTTTTTTGTACCAGAGATTGAGCTTGGGACGCTTAACCACTAAAGTCACATCCCAGCCCTATTTTGTATTTTATTTAGAGACAGGGTCTCACAAGTTCTCACGAGTTACTTAGCACTTCACTTTTGCTGAGGATGGCTTTGACCTTGTGATCCTCCTGCCTCAGCCTACTGAGCAGCTGGGATAACAGGTGTGTGCCACCACGCCCTGCTTAAAATAGAATTTTGAAGAAGCTATCCAGAGTTGACTTCAGCCTTTTCCAAGTCCTATAATGCCTGGTTTTTGTTGTTGAAATGAAATAGCTATGGGAAACGTTGACAAGGACAGTTGGAGGAAGAGAGAAGTGACCCTGATGCTCTGAGAAGAGTGAGGGAAGAGAAACAACAAAACGCAGATAAATGGGAAGATTGTCCAAACACAGCAGGCTAGGGAAAGAAGAGTGAAGATAAAGTCGAATATGTGTTTCAAACTATTTAAGTCAGTATTTTCAGCCTGCAAAATAATTGATGTGCATGTAATGACGTCCCTGAGTTATTAGAAGAAGTTAGGAAAACTGAGATATTATGTAAAATATTCATGTGTAAGAAGGAAGAATTTAGAAAAAAGATTCAGAAAGATTTCCATTGGAAATGGTTCAAGTTAAAAACTAAAGTTTTGATGCTTAAAGAGAGTCTGTTAGTTAGTGGCGGTGCCACAATGTGCAATGTGGTGGTGGTGGTGTTAGCACCTAGGAACTTCCAGGGTGTGACATTCACTTTGATATGGAATCTCATTAAATTGGGCTTAAGATACCTATGTCACATGGGGTTTAATGGGGATTGAATTATTTAACTTAAAAAAGATAAAAGAATGCATGTACTTGAGTATTTTTATTATATATTTGTCAAATAATTTCTATATGGAAAAATTATATAAAGAAATATTTTAGGGCAGGATGTAAAGTTTTCAGTAGTATTTGCTGTCCCCATAAGCCTGGCTTCACATCGATGCCTGGTTTCTCTCATTTAGGAGTGACTGAAATGGGAACCCCATGCAATTCTTTTGCTTCAAAATAGGAGATTAGTTTATGCTTCCTAATCAATATTGTGTACTTTTCTAAATTTCATTGTGCTTTCTTTACTTGTGACTTTTTGACTTTTCTGGGCTCTGAGAATTACTTCTGACCCTGGGTAACTCAGCAAATTAATGGGACTTTTATTGAGTGTCATAAAAGTAGCTGAGCTACTGAGTTAAAGATGATGAAAATTGCTTTTCCTTGAATAAGCCCTTGATTTTATTTTGACTTTAAAGATTTTTCTTCTGGAAATGTTAGAATACCTTGATGAATTTGCTAACTGTAGATTTTGGTGTAGAACTACCAATTAATGAAGCAAAAGTTTACTGATATCTTCAGAGACTATTAGCCCCAAGGTTTGTCAGACTATGGAGACTTCCACCTTTCTATCTTCAAATTTATTTCATTTAAGCAGAATCTCCTGCCTCCATTGGCTAATGGCAGAAATTCAGAATCATTAGCTAAATTAATTGTTTCATGTGCTTGGTCTTTAGAACGTTATAAACTATAATGGAATTACTGAGTTGAGAGCAATTAATTGGATGTTCTTCAAATATATTCTAACCAAATGCTGTACCTGGCACTCTTTATGACCACTTAAAAACTACCAAAAGGAAACTGTTGATGAATCCTAGTGCCATCAAAATAAACCATCTAGAACAGTTTTAATATCCCCAGATCTGTGTATTTGTGTCACCCCTCCATCTGAAAAGTCATTGCAGATACTGCCTCTTAAGTGTAAATTTAGTGCTCTATATTTTTAAAAGGAAAAAATGAGAATTTGAAATACTTTCCCTCTCTGGTCTTCTTTTAAAGCCCATAAATCATGGAAGGAGGAACAGAATGCTCACATGTTCCTCATGTCTAGGACTCGTGTTTGAGGCAGAAGTTGAAAATTGAGGGCATTGAGGCATACACAGAGTGTAGGTGGCAAGAAGTCTCAGGTAAGAGAGTGAAGATAGAAAAATGGGAAGAACTTGGAAAGCAAATTGCATTCTAAAGGGACCAGCTTCCACATTAGCCCTGCTGGTTGTGGTCATATGGGAATGTGGTCCTGGTAAAGCCAAATACTGGGATTTCCAAACAAAGTCAGATGTGTGAAATTTTTTAGGAACTAATCACATTTAAATTTTGGTAACATAGTTCAAGTTTTAAACTCTGTGGGACAAACAAAACCTGTTTGTGGGCTGTCAGGAAGCCACCTCTGGATTAGATTCTAACACTCCCTATTCATACACACACAAAATAATATACAAATAAAATAAAATATACAAAATAAAGGATGTTGAAATACTGCCCTTTTGATCAATCAAAGAATATGTTTTTTGTTTTTTTTTTAAATAAAGGAAACTAGGGTGTTTCATTAATCACAGATAATCAACAGTTAATCCATTAGGCTATAGTAACATATTCATTATCATGACTATTTAAAAAGATGGTGTATTTGCTTCCTTTCTATTTGGTTTATAAGCAGGTGAGTTCAGGAAACAAAGATTTCCTGATATGGTTGTCAGTTGTTGGTACTGGAATATTAAGAAGTGTGCAAAATAGAAAGGCCCAGAGTTGTATTTAAAGGGTGATTCTATAAAAACTGAGGGTAGAATAAAGACTTTTCAAGTTCCTTCAGGGCATCACGTTTAGTTCATTATGCCAAAAAAGTGTAGTGGTAGATACTAGAAAAAAGAGACAGTTTGAATATGTTATTATTTTAGACTGTTGCCCTCAAACTGAAATATACAGATGCTATGAAAAAATTTGCAGTTTCCTGAGGGATGAGAAGAGAAATTCAGAGAATCACGGAGCACACAATGTGTCATTAGCTACTCCAGACAGTACACAGCATCTATTAGTGGATAAAGCAAAGGGAAAGGAATAAACATCCATTTCTATTTCTTACATTGTTGCTCTGGGACCTAGAGGAACAGTGTCACCTTTTGGCATTTGGGTCACCTCCTATGCTAAGAAAAATGACAATGTATGTCCCAAAGGCACTTTGTGCATAATTTTTGACACCTATAAAGCATTTGCAAATTTTTAAACGCAAGGGTACCACAAAAGTATGGAATGCTATTCTCCTTCTTCATGATATACAGAAATGAAGAATTATGACGGCCAGCCACCAGCCACCAGTCAGTTACCTACTGGAATGTTTTTGTTTGCTTTTCATCTTTGTTCATTCTGGAACCCATCATGTTTATTTCCAAGCAATGTTCTTTCTATCCACTTTAGCTTTGCATTTCATTTAAATGAAAAAGCAGGCCTGGGCTGATTCATTATTTAAATTGCCGTCTCTAAGCTCCCCTTTGGAGACTGAGGAATCCATATGTGTAAGGCTGCAGTTAGGCAAAAAGAAGAATAAGTTACATGATAAAATCCAGGGCCCAGCTCTGAAGCGTGAATTATATAAAGTTCATTGTCCTTGTCTGTGTCCCTTACAAGTAGTCCTTGGGTAGCTTTAAGTGAGATGTTAACCTTATACTTGAAACATAGTCTTACCTTCATTCTTTAGGAAAAAAAAACTGACAAATGAGAATTTGAAGATAAACTTCATAGATTAGAAATATACTTACCTCTCTTATAGCTTGATGTACAATATGGAAAATGATACTTTTTCTGTGTACTCATTATATGTAAAACATCAAACAATACATATATAAAAATAAACATAAAAATCAGTCCATACCTTCTAGAAGAAATCACTCTTTTTTATAATCTACTTTTCTATAAATTACTACTTGACTTTCAAGAAATTAGATAGGTTCATGTTGTTTAATCTATCATTTAACTTCTTGATAACTATTCTCAATTTTTTTAAACAATTCAATTAGATTGAATTACAAAAATATTTAGCATGCATATATATGTGTGATTTTCTCTATATATGTATTTTACATAGGTTTTTTTTTTTTAATCATGAAGGGTGATGTAAAAAATCAGAGGTCCTAATGTATAAAACAGAGAAGAAAGAAAAGATCACTTGCCAACTCTTGGCTGTCTTTTGCACACTGAGCCCATTACAGGATATGTCACCTTCATGGATATTAGCATATTGGCTGAGTCTTAATTGGGAAGAAAATGAACTTATAAAAACAAGCCTGCCTTGCAAGTTCTCTCCCCCAAACCAACTCCTGAGAATACCGTACCTTCCGGAGGGGTTTGAGCTTGGTCTCCATTATGAAGTCATATTTGCAGAGTTCGCAGCAGCGCGTGTCTGAGCTCTTGATCCACTGGTGGAGGCAGGACTGGTGGACAAAGCGCAGGGTCCCCGTGCAGCGACAGGGTGTGATGAGGGGGCTTTCTTCGTCCCCTTCGCAGTGACAGATCCTGGGGAGGGACACAGCAGACAGTATGAAATCTCACAGAGAACATTCTCACCAGTGGATTTCTACCCTTGCTTACACCAGGCTATATTAGAACTTACAACCTAAAATTTAGAGTACACTGACATTTCATTACAACCTGGATGCTAGAGCTGAGTCTTTGATCAATATGAATTTGTTTGCACTTGTATGGTCATTGCCAGACTTAAGTCATGTTATAAGGCATTAGATATTGGCATTGCAGAAACAGACTATCATTTGATTTCTACACTGAAGCCAGTGTTTTAAAAAAATAATTAATAATTCTTTAACACTGGGGATTGAACCTACGGGCCCTTAACCACTGATCCACATCCCCAGTCTTTTCTATATTTTATTTAGAGACAGGTTCTCACTAAGATGTTTAGAGCCTCAATAAGTTGCTGAGGCTGGCTTTGAACTCTCAATCCTCCTGAGCCGCTGGGATTATAGGCCTGCGCCACCATGCCTGGCCTGAAGCCAGTTTTAAGAGCATATAAACTCTGTATCCAGCTTCATTTCTTTTAATAAGTCACTTTCTTTGGGTTTTCATATCTAAAAGTTATGACATGTAAATATTCTAAGGAATATTAGAATCAGGGTGATATTGGCCTCATAGAATATGTTTGGAAGTGTTCCCTCTTTTTCTATTTCATGAAATAGTTTGAGGAGTATTGGTGTTAGTTCTTCTTTAAAGGGCTTGTAGAACTCAGCTGTGTATCCATCTGGTCCTGGGCTTTTCTTGGTTGCTAGGTTTCTGATGGCGTGGAACATTAGAATTTCATTGTGTTATTTTGATGGCGGTTTTATAGGACTATAGTGTATAATGTAGTAATATAGTGTGGGGAATTTCTGAAAAATTTTAATGCATAATCAAAGAATAAAGTTACTACTGAAGTTTCAGACTAAGAATATTATAAATATTTTCCTAGGAAGATGCATACTTATTGGGTCATAATTAACTGTCCAAACTGTCAATAGTCATCATTGTACAAAAACCCCATAAAAATGACCAATTACATAAAATTCAAGTTCATGAAATTCTATAGTTTGAAAATGTTAATCACTACTTTGGCCAGTGAACTTTGAGTTCAAATAGTTTCTGAATTACTCTAAAGTCTAGTTTTAAAGATTTAGAGTTTCACAGATTTACATAGAGAAGTTTGCAATCAATGTCCCCCCTCCCCTGGAATGAGTTAAAAAGTAGCAATGTTGGATGTAGTATCTCATATGAAAATCAATGTGGTAGGGGAAAATTAAAATGAAATCTCCATTACTCTCATATTCATATTTTTAAAAATAATTTATTTTCTTCTTTGAATAAGTTAAGCCTTTCATAACTCTAGGTAGTGAATTAAAACCTCAGCCTTTCAGCAACTCTCATGATTTAACCAGCTGTTAGAAGTTGGTAATAAATTTAATTAGAAACATTGCTTTATATCTGTTAGAGATGTGAATGTTGAATGTAGCATTTAAAAAAATTTAAAAAATCTGCATAATTCCTTTTTTTAAAAAAAAAAACAACAAAAGCTGAGTCACAGTGGTGGGATGGAAAAATGTATCCATTGCTGCTACTGCTCTTTCCTTATGGGTGTTTACACCCTTTTCTCCAGAAGCATATGTTTTAAAGAGTGGGTTTAAAATCTACTCTGAAAATACACTATCTCCCCAGAGAAAATGAAATACCTGCTTAGATTGCCAGTGCAGTAAGATACAGGAATTGAAACCTAATGCTCCCCGACCTCAAAATAAAGAAGTAGGACAGAGGACACCAGTATTTTGTCTTAATTTCTTAAGTAAAAATAAAGTAAGCACAAGGAAACTCTGACTTCTACGGTTTTGGGGTGGGCATGATGGGATGAGGACAGAGGGAAGGTCAGGCCAATGTCTCCTTTCTCCCAGAGAGAGCTGAGAGCAGCAATGCTGGATAAAACACCTCAAGGCCAAATGGCTGACATGGTGGCGCATGCCTGTAATCTCAGTGGCTCCAGAGGCTGAGGCAGGAGGATTGAGAGTGCAAAGCCAGCCTCAGCAAAATTGAGGCACTAAGCAACTCAGTGAGACCCTGTCTCTAAATAAAATACAAAATAGGGCTGGGGATGTGGCTCAGTGGTCAAGTGTCCCCTGAGTTCAATCCCTGGAACCCACTCTTGGCCCCCAAAATGATCCGAATGCCTATTCCTTAAAAAACCTGAAATAGCTCCTTCTTCCAAACCTAGGCTTCAGGAACTGGGCCCTCTGTGCCTTATATCACAGTTGACATGCCACCACAGTGTCACAGCCTAGGTGCTCAGTAGTTGGCTGACAAGGCAGCTATGAAGGAAATAAGAGCTTCTACAGCATTTAATCTGATTGTAATATTTATTATTTGAGTCACTGAAATCTAATTAATTGTGAAGAATAAGAGATATTATTTCATAGGTCCTTGAACCCATTTTTTCTCCCCATTTTTTTATTGGTGCTTTATATTGTACATATGATGGAATTTGTTGTTATATATTCATACATGCACACAATTTAACAATATAATTTGGCCAATACCACTCCTCAGCACTTCACCTGTCCCTCATCTACTTCCACGCCCCCTTCTTCTATTCTATTTATCTCTCTTTGATTTTCATGAAATCCTCTCCCACACCTTCTTTTCCTTTTTCCTTTCTAGCTTCTACATATGGGAGAAAACGTGATCCTTGACCTTCTGACTTTTTTCATCTTGAAACTCCTATTTCTCTTACTACTTCAATCAGACCTTGGCCCAATTCTGTCCAATGAATGTGATTATAAATAAAGTTTTATTGAAACACAGCCTCGCCCATTGGTTTATATATTGTTTAGAGTTATATTTGCAGTATAACAGCAGAGCTAAGTAGTTTCTGCAGAGATCATCTAGCTGCAAAGATTAAAATATTTGCTATCTGGCCCTTTTCAGAAAATGTCTGCAGACTCCTTCTTTAAGGTATACATGGCGATTCTGAGTTAGAGACAATATGTGTATGTTGCTGACAACAATGAAAAAAAATTTACAAAATAAATCACCCCAACCTCTGCAAGCAACCAAAAACTGAAATAAAGATTATATAGAGAAATAATAAAATGTTCACACTATAAATGAAAGCTATCTTGACCTGACTTTAAAGTCTACTGCTTCCATGGGCAAAATTACTCATTTGAAAAAGAGAAATTTGCCTTTAAAGTCATCTGATAATTCATCACTAAAAAAATAAATAAAATAAAAAGATTGTATTAAATGCTCAACTGCTCAACATCTGCCAAAAAGATTCTGAGATTCTGACTTTTTACTGACATGAATAAAGTAATTTATTCATAAGCAGTTTTAAACAAAGACCTAGCTGATTTACTAAGTTCAAACTGACCTGATCAGCTTACTGATTATAATACAACCTCCTATGTCTTATAATGATCTTTTTAAAAAATTCTTCTAAGACTCTTACCTGAAGCACCACCAGCAGTATTATTTTCTCATAAAATTAAAATTATTTCCCATAGGAAAAATCAAAAGTTTGCTTCATTTTCATTTCCATCTCACATACTTTATTTTAGCACATTTTTAGCATTTTGAACTTTTTCTAAATTATCCAACTCAAGTGAGACCCAAGAGTCTTTTCTAAGCTATATTTAGATTGTTTCAAATGAATTGAAGAGCTAAATATCAACTTCAATATCTTTTAAAAATAAAAAAATAAGACCATTAAAGAAAGAATTAAACAATTCTTAAATCGGTATACTCGACAGAAATCACTATTGCTGAATTAGAAATGAAAACACAGTAATGAAAACATAAACATGTTTTTCCCAACAGAATAATTGTATAAAGAAAATGTTGTTAATGCTATCATAAAATTACATTGTAAAATATTCATAATTTTGATGCATTTTTACTTGATGGAAAATTGAGGCTTGGAAATTCAGTAATTCTATAACTCATTGGTGATCCACGTTGGTGCCCGATACCCAGTGGGAGGAAGAAGTGAATTCATAGATTTTATTGGCATTTTAGTATATTGAATGTCTACTTACAATCTAATCAGTATATGTTGAGATTTTCATATTTAAGACTTCAATACACTGGTACTTCCACATAATTTTTAGATTTCCATGAACAGAACACCACAAAATGTTATGTAACACATTAAGTGTTAGTTAGTTAGTTTGTTTGTTTGTTTTTGTTTTCTTTTTGGTATGGTCAAAGTGTGTAATTGCCTTAATGTTTGATTTTAAGAAAAGTAACTTCTTTTGTTTTGGTCTTATTTATGTTAAAATGGTCTTTACTGTTCACCATTCACTCCCTTCTGAAGGCTCTTGGACCTGATAGAATAATATATTTTTCTGCAAAATTTTAAAAATAATTTATTACTTGAAAAAATGTCTTTATGAGGCCCATCATGGTTAAAAAAACTTGGGAATTTAAAAATTATTTCATTCATTTGATTGATCATTTTTTTAGTTCTTTTAAAAATATGTTCTAGTTGTAGATGGACACAATATCCTTATTTTATTTATTTATTTTTATGTGGTGCTGAGGACCGAACCCAGTGCCTCACACATACTAGGCTAGCACACTACCATTACGCCACAGTGCCACAACCTCAGTCCTTCTTAGGGACCTTGTTTGTGATACTATTGCAATTATCTGAGAAATAAGAATCTGGACCAACATGGTGACCTTGAGGAAGGTCAACAAGTGACTCTGGAAAGTGTGGAGACATGGAGGGCTCACTTGTCTTCCATGATTAGCTGCAGTAGCAAACCATTTCTAGAACATACTTGACTTCTAAATGCCATCATCCTTGTCATCTTCAAGCAGCATCTTGACCACAGGCTTCCCAACTCATGGATTCTCAGAGTCATGCTAGATTTACCCCTTCTTTTTTTGAGTCTTTCCCCTCACTTCCCTATCTACATTTTTCTCCATAACCAACTTTTACTAAATAATCTTTAACAGTAATTGTGGGTACTGCTATGTCT